TAAAACTCGCGATTTTGACTTAAACAGCAACACGCTTCTTGCTGAATAGGGCAAGCGAAAATTTGTGTATGCAATAATTTCGCAAAAATCATTTCGAACCTAACTAAAAAAAATATGTCATTGTGTTTGTTTATTATTAAATTACTGTAAACTTATATAAAATATATTTAGTTGGATTAGACTAAATTAAATTGCGCTTGATATAGTAAGATTAGGTAAGTTTCCTAAGGTTCTTTAGGTACAAAATCATTAATTTTTTATATTAGCATAAATTAAAAATATATATCTTTAAATGTATAAGAGGAAATTTTAGAATGGACTTAATTTTGAATGAGTTCTTGCTAACTGTCCAGTTTTACCAATTCGGCACGTGTGTGTGTGTGTGTGTGTACTCGCCTAGCTGAGGTTGCAGGGGTCGAGTCCAAGCTCCTGGCCCCGCCTCTTCACTGGTCGCTACTAGGTCACTCCCCCTGAACCGTGAGCTTTATCATACCTCTGCTTAAAGCTATGTATGGATCCTGCCTCCACCACATCGCTTCGCAAACTATTCCACTTCCTGAGTACTCTGTGGCTGACGAAATACTTCCTAACATCCCTGTGATTCATCTGTGTCTTCAACTTCCAACTGTGTCCCCTTGTTACTGTGTCCCATCTCTGGAACATCCTGTCTTTGTCCACCTTGTCAATTCCTCTCAGTATATATATACACACACACACACAGTTTTTTTAACTGACCATTTTCCATTGAGGATGAGTGTAAGTTTATTCAGTTCAGGTATACACAAATAGTTACAAAAATTGTCAGTTATACTAAATGGTTATAACTATGACCATAATTTTTAAAGGGAAGGACCGGTTAGTCAGCGGAAGGCCTCGGTCAGATGACCAAAAGCTTCAACAGCGGGTCATCATCTGACTAAGACCAGCGTCAAGAAACACTTGTCCTGTCTCCTGACGAACCTTACCTTACCTAACTTAACCTAAAAATTGTCATACATAGCAACATATGTGTAGGTTACCTAGGGCAACCCAAAAAAGTCAAAGTTACTTATTTCCCAATCTTTCTCTCCCCACTAGTCTTTCCTAAATGACACAGAAAATCAATGCTCATCTCTACCAAACTGTACCACTCCTTACCCAAATTTGAAAAAGCGGCTAGTCAACAGTGCTTTCGCTCTGCAAAATTCGTGTCTACCTAACTGGTTTTCCTGATGCTTTTCACAGTTCACTCCAACAGCAAGTCAAACACCAAAAACCATTTGCATCTGTGCACTGCAATCTTATATGATCAAGATATGCTTCTGGACGTTTCAAGCCCTATCAATACCACTTTCAAGCTGCTGTCAACTCTTTCTCAGACGTCCTATACTCCTCCTTCCATCCCAGGTTTATATACCCTATTAATTACTCTATCTTGTTCCATTCATTCTATATGACCAAAGCATGTCTACTCCAGTTCCAAGGTTAATTAACGGTCAACCATCTAGTTTCTTTATTGCTGATTCTTTACATAATTTTCACCAGACTGACCCCTTAGGACATTCCCATTACGTCAAACAAATATACAATATTATTTAAGCATTGAATGCAATAAAAATTACGAATCGTAAACATCAGAGCACCTGAACACACACAGCCACCCACCTAGCTTTTGCTTCATGGAATACTCCAGGTTCAGTCTCGTATATGAATCTCATCAAAAGAGGTATCTGATGTGGATGATACCAAGTACATACTTTCATCCACTGATATATCTAATTTGGATACCTAGCACTATTATCCAAGGAGACATCTAATGTAAGCGCGCCTCTGGGTAGAGCACCCTGCTTTAATGGGAGACGGCCAATGTGTTAATAAAATAATAGAATCTAACAAGGATGATATCTAGCTCTATCATCCAAAAAGGCATCTGGTGTGGATATCCAGCACTATCATTCAAGGAGACATCTAATGTAGCTGATACCTAGCACTACCATCCCAGGGGCTATTAATGTGGCTTGTTACGTAGCACTATAATTCTCTCCGGCTGGTTTCCAATTGAGCTCAAGCATATAAATAATGCTGGAAGTATTTTGAGTTCAAGTGAAACGTACACAGTATTTAAAAATGAAGTTCATCACTGGCCGGGACATTGTATGCAAATGATTACTGACAAGGACCTTATATATATAAAGTATGTATGTGTACAGTTCTAACTGTCGAGAAAATTCACTGCTGAAGCCACTTATTACAAAAGCTTTTTTTCGAGAATTTTCAGCTAAAAATGTCACTATAGAGGTCGATAAAACTGTTCTTGCTACAATAAGACACTGAGCAATGACACAGTTAAACGGATATAATAAAACAAAAGAAGTACTGTATATTTCGACCACATACCGAAGACAATCTCATTGTGAGGCCGAAATATACAATACTCTTGAGATCTGATTAAGACCGGGCAGCAGGGTCGATGATCAGCTGAACCACTGATTGATTAATGGAGTTTAAAGTTTATCGACTACACTGGGGTCAAAATTAAGGCTTCCTTTATATAACTAGACAAAAATACTTCCGTCCCTAAAATAGGAAATAAAGTACTCTCATCACATACACACTAAAGGAAATACAACTCCCGGTGTGTATGTGTTTATATCGTGTACCATATAATACATGTGACACACTTAGCTTCTCATGGATTCGCTCATGTCATACTCATTTTTACTTCAAAACGGGGTAAATCACCTACTTATCTACATCCAAGAGTTCATGAAGATCGGTGCCTACTAAGTTGTCCACAGGAATGCATTCAAACGTACGATTGCAAGCCAACTCTAGTTTCTCTTCTTCTGTAGTGTCAACTGTGTCGCTTTTGCTGTCTGACTCACACGTAACACATTTGTCATCGTCAGTCTCCTTTTGTTTGCGAGATTTAGTAGATTCACTCCTTTCTCTGTGCCTAAAGAAACCAATGCCATCCTCCTTGTCTTTATGCTTAAAGGAGTTACTAGCGAAATCCTTGTTTTTACGCTTTAAAGATTTATTGACCTCATCTTTTTCCTGTCGTTTTAAGGATTTGTTGTCATCTTTGTGTTTGCTCGATTTGACGTGTTCACTTTTAAAACTTTTGGAATGTTTTTTTGATAGTTTCTCATGTTCGTTTCCCTCTTTATCAACAGCTTCACATATATTTTCTGCACTTTTACTTTTATCCGTCATAAATATCTGAGTAAGGTCATTCAGACTCCGCGATATTGTAAATTTTGATCTCAGGGTGCCGATCTTACGGTGCGCCATTGTTAGATTCTTAAACAATTTTAAAAAGAATTTTATGTAATATGTAATTTTTCTCAGCTACACTGTTACTGTCGACATTGTATATTCTTAGCTTAAAATATTTATAGGTGCTGAGGATATTACCATTCTAATAAACAGTTGATTTTATTTTTCACAATAACATGAACAATCTTCACATTTCAGTTTAAATATTTATTTAATAACATCAATGTAAAAATGTACCGACTCGAATAGTAATTTGTACTGCATCGTGTAATAATCCCATATCTTTTGTGATTCGTTATATATCTTTTGTACACTCGCCTTTTTTTCCCCCCAAGATCAGAGTATTAAGTCTTGAGCAAATATACACATTAGAAACCTAACTTATTTCGCGCACTTTCTCCGTAACTTCAATATTTATCTGGTCACTGTGATAATAGTAATACTGCAGATCCCAAGATAGCTTTCCTGTAATGCAGTCACAAGCTGTTAGGCATAGCTGATGATAGTGGGCGATATTAACGAGGCAACTGGTAGTTAACAGAAGTTGTTGCAGTGGGCTGAGAGTGACGCCGCCACCACAGTAAACGGAGGGTGTCATGGCAGCCACTGCCAGGGAACTGGCTCACCCTATTATCAGTCTCCCCAGCCAAGATAAGGAACACAAGCACGCCTAACCCCCGTATTCAACTTCACTCCCGCTAATGAATCTCTTTCCACACCGTCCACCGATAATTTTTCTACAGTTAATAACTCAGTCGTCCTATATAAACAAAAATCAGTCTACGTGGCTCAACACAGACAAAAAAAAAATTCCTTGTAATCAAAAACGGGACTAAAGTGCATGAAACGCTATCAAAACATTAGCACATTGTATAGATATATAATATTGTACTCAAGATAAGATAAAGATAAACAGATACTGAGTGGATGATACATGCCAATCAACGATTTCCAAGAACTTTCCCAGTATTTAAAGGCGGCATTTTCATCTTAGCCAGAGTCCAATATCCGTTGTGAACATTCAAATTTCAACAAATTTTAAACAAATCCAGGAATATAATTTGCAACACCTCAGATGGTTATCCTATCAGGAAGATTATTTTTCACTTAATGCCCGACAATATGTAATATGCTGTAAGTATCTCCCTAGACATGAATGATGCTTATGCATGCTTGGTAAGCAAAGTATCTACAATCTTCACATCAGATATCTGATGGTTATAATTATAACCATAATTTTTAAAGGGGTGGTCAGGTAAGCCAGTGGAAGGTCTCGATCAGATAACCAAAAGCTCCAGCTGCGGATCATTATATATCTAAGATCCGTGTCAGGAAACACTTGTCCTGTTTTGTGACAGACTTTACCTAACCTAACCTCGACACATCTTAAACTATTTTTTTTTAAGAACAATGTTGCGAAGGTTGGTACTCTTTCCCATAAAAGATATAAATATTCAGAATAATGATTATTTGTAAAAATAAAGAACAAAAAGGTACAATACAGTGGCTGGAACAATACACAAATAACCCGCACATAGGAGAGAGGAGGTTACCACGACGTTTCGGTCCGACTTGGACCATTTAGTCACAGTGTGATTTTGTAATTGGTCCAAGTTGGACCAAAACGTCGTCGTAAGCTCCTCTCTCCTATATGCGGATTGTTTGTGTATTTTAAAAATAATACTGGCTACTATACAGCAGAATACATAAAGAGTAATAAGGCTAGTAAAATGTGTACTTACTTGGCATCAGCAACATCGTGAGGCAAGACGTCTGCTTCTTTCTCCTCACTCTGTACCTTACTGTGGAGAGGACATGAAACGAAGAATGGGGAAGGAAAATAATAAGGTAAGGAAGGTTAAGATAGGGGAAGAGGAGGGGAGGTAAGACAGGGGAAAAGGAATGGCGAGACAAAAGGGAGAAGGAAGGAGTGAAGAAAGAGCGAGGAGGAAGACGAATGTAATAAGCGAAGATCCATGGGTAGGTGACAAGAACAGAAAATAGTACACCAAGATTGGGGAATAGAATACCAGGATAGGGACAGACGGGAACAGCCACACACCACAAAGCAGGTGGTTCGAGTGATAAAGAAATATCCAAAAAAGAAAAGTTTTTTCGAAAAAAAAAAAGTTGGACATAAGGTTTTGGGAGGAAGTGAAGGAAAAACAAAACGGGCGATTAGTTTTACAAATACGTATTAGCAATTTTATTTCCAGATATTCTACGTTTTTAATTATCCAGGTTAACAGCTTAATAAAATTAATATTAAGACCAAGTATCAATATGCATCACGTGGAAAATTAACCCTACACACGGCAACTAATCAAATATATTGATGAAATACTTAATTTACGCTGCAATGATGTATGCAACAAGACAAGCCGCCAATAAACTGGTAAATATTCAAACATGCTAATTAGGAACAATAGTGTGACCAAAATTATTTAAAAAGTGTCAAAATTAAGTTTACATTTCATTAAAGTGACTTCAACGCAAGCCACAATTTTCAACTTGAACAATTAAATATACCTAAGAGTCGATTCTACCTCATACTCATCCAAAACATTTACAAAAAAAAAAAAAGAAACAAGGTTACAACAAAGTGCCTCGTGTATTTGTTCAAGTAACAGAAGTAATTAATACCAAGAGGACATCAGTACACATCAAACTCTAACACTAACACTTCCAGAGAGAGAGAGAGAGAGAGAGAGAGTTAAACACGAATCAGCTGAAAATTCAACTTACTTCGGCATCGGTGTTCGAGTAGAATTCAATTAGACGGATCAAAAAGAGTTATTGGTGCGATACTAAATAAAATGAACACAAATGTAATTTGCGAATAAATTTTTATAATCAAAAGTTAAAACTTGTATTAGTGAATAAAATTATTAAATAAATTATTGGCGAATAAACTGAAACAAGACAAATAACGACATTACCGAACAAATGCCGACAAAACCAAAAACATTACTGAAAAATTTATAAACTCGAAAAAAAAGTTACTGTTAAAAGTAGTCAAGTCAGTTTTTAAGTAAAAACAGAGAGCATGACGAGCCTTCGCAACACAACCTTACAACTTAAGTGTGAGTTAATTAAGTCTGGTAAAACAATGTTCCTTAAAGGCTGATCTTGCTATATGTTTGTTTGCCACATTTATCTGTAACTTAAATCAAAACTGTTGCTGCCACATTAATATAGACAAATATTATGGAGAAAACGTACATAAAAAGTTTTGGGGGCATAAAAATAAACGAAACAAATATTCTTGGGAATAAAAGGAAATCAAAACAATAGCCACTGGTAAATTAAAATGAAGCCGTAAATGTTCACACAAAAATAAACAACCAATAAATTTAACTTAGAAACACTAGGGAAAATAGGCTACATACGTCGACCAAGCGACATAATACAATTTTCAGCACTAATCACCAGGGAGAAGATTAAATTATACACAAAGTCTGAGAGACAGTGTGGGATGCCCAAGTTTATTTAACGTGAGTGAGGGTTAACATTAACATTTAACAAAAGTTCCGAAAAATTAAGTACCAAAAAACGTAGCAGGTAGGTAATAACATTTAAGCCAAGTTGAAGAAACACCTATGAACACTGAGAAACACGAGAGGTATAAAAGAACACCCTCAGCTACGTGAAGTAACATGACGATTAGAAAAGAACACCCACGGAAACTTTAATTAATACAAACTTTAAGAAACAATGAAAGATATATGGTAACCTCAACAATTCTCAAACACGAAAGAACACGGCAGTTCATGGGAAATTATGTAAACTCCAGGGACTCGAGAGAGACGTACACCAATGGTAGGTCAAGTTACAGAACGTGTACCAACTTTGACTAGAGAAACTCATGGTGGTTAAGGATGGGGGCAAAGCTGTGGAAAGTGCCTCTGCTGTAATATTGAAAGTTATGCACAAAAATGAAAGCCAACATCAATACTCATAATTTTACATACATTTCCTTAATCAAAATTTTGTTTATCCGTTTTCTAGTCATAGTTTATAAAAACATTTTAAATAAATTTTGAATTTTTTTTATTGCATCATCAAATTTTAACCTATTTTTAATAGCATTTTGAAATTTTATCCCATTTTCTATAACTTTAGCATATAAAAATTTATAATAATTATTTTACCTTAGGTACACCAGGATGTGTAATAAATTTATTCACCAAAACAGATAAAAACATTAATTAAACGTCGCATGATTAAAAGTTAAGGTCACTAACGGCAGTAGTGATAATAGGCACGTTTCTCGTTTATTGATAAAAAGGCAATAAAGAACATGGTTTGGTTCCCCACGTTCCATATTTATCAGTAACTAGGCAATGAAGAACATGGTCAGTTTTCCTAAAATATTGGTCATCGTATATTATGTTAACTTCTAAAAACCTCATGAAATCTAACGAGCCAGTACGTAGTTAATTCACATTATCTTGCTTTACCTGATAATATTTTGGGTATTTAAGGAGAAATGCATTATTTCTGAGAATCACCCTCTTAATACTATTGTTTGTGGTCCCTTCCGAGCCAACAGCAACCTTTGCAGCTCAACGAACTGTCAGGCGCTCAATTAAAATATAACGTACACAGGAAATAATCCCTCACCAATATAAAGCCTAGTTCTTTAACTATAATGATTTATATAACTTAAGGTTTGTTAATGTTTGAAATAAATATTGCTAACCATTCTTTGTAACATGCGTATATTATATAGTTAGAGATATGTTAATACTTAGAGATTGTGGTATTAAGATTCACATGCACAGTCAAGACATTTATTGAAGGTAACGTTTAGCCACTTTTTTTCAGTCGTAATATAAAGACAGTTAAAATATATAATGAATGTATAGCAAAGTGGCGAGATCACTTATAGGAGACGCCTGGGCGGGGCTGTGTACTGCACGACTGGGAAAAGTTGGATTTGAGAAAGACCTGCCTAGCACGCACCGGCGGCGGCGGCGACAGCAGGGAAGGAATTGAAGAAGGAAGGTGAAGAGGAGGTAGAAGTAAATGCCTTTTGCCCTGTGTAAATTTTTGGAGTACCTGGCGGGCTTCGCTTAAAAAAATAAATTGATCACTTCTAGATAATGATGTTCCTGATTGGATTCATAAACATTGGGGCCCCTGAGGAGGTTGTGGATCTTGTAGTTTGCGTTGAGGGTAACTACTACCCCCACGAGAGAACTTCCACCAGGTATATAGCCCTTCCCGTTAATATTATTATAATCATGATGATAAATTAGACACATGTGCAACACTTGGGTATCTTTAATGAGGAAACGTTTCGCCACACAGTGACTTTATCAGTCCATACAAAGGAGAATCGTGAAGAGTAGTAGTTTGAGGTAATCAGTCCCTCAGCCTTGAGTCGATGTAATCAGTCCACCAATCTTGAAAAGAATACAGCATATGTGAGAAGTGGCTTATATACTGTAGTCAGGCATAACTAAGCGCTAAACCCACACTAGATTGGCCAGCAACATTTCTCCTGTGCTCAGAGGCAGTCATATGAAAGTAGAAACCAGTTCCGCCATCAGGGATCTCGTTAAGCTGAAACCAGCCAGCACCACAGAAACCAGTGCCGGTATATACAGGATCCCTAGCGAGGGTTGCAAGGAAGTTTACACAGGGAAAACAGCCATGGGCATAGGGCAGCGTTTTAGGGAACCATACTGGTTGGAAAGGGGGCTAGGAAATTTGTTTAAAAGAAATGTTATTATTTTTATTTGCTTTAGAAGGCTGAAGAAATCTTTTTTTTTTTAGGGGGGAGGGGGGGAAGACAGAAGGCAACCCAAGCCCCTCCTCAGCGCCGTCACTACAGGAAACGGAGGAAGCAGAACTACTATAATTTACTTCAACGTTGAGCTTTAACATTTCCAAAACTCTCACCAAAATTATCCTGCCCAACCAAAACACTACCAACAGGTGATATAAGAATGGAGGAGCACTGCTGTAGTCCCACTGGCACATAGTCAGAGCCTACTCACTCGTGCATTACAAGACCCGGCCCAGTCGTCTGGGATAGGTGGCCTCACCAGTCTACCTGTTTTTCTGTTACATATAATATATGGTGTTTTATGCTCTCTGTATTCGAGTTGACAAAGCCACCAGTGGTGGCGAAGCGTCCCTTTTTAATAAAGTGTTGACTGTGCCTAAGTTCCTTATTCTCGCAACTGTAAACTCTTGAAAGTATTATTATTATTAAAATGCCAAGTCATACACAACTTCATCACTCCTGCGCCCCAGCTTCACTGTTCCACATGCTTGATACAAACATGCTGCCGTGCTCGTTTTCTCCGCTAATAAAGAATTCACCAAAAACTCGCAAACAGGAGAGGAACCTTATGACGACGTTTCGGTCCGACTTGGACCAGTGTCAACTCGTAACTTACGCTTGTCCACGAAATGCAGTCACAATGGCTAATACTGACAGCAAACTGTTTTATTTTACTGCACTCTGATCTACAGCACTCAGGAAGCGGGGAGCTTATTCTATCGCATTCTGATGGCTTTTTATTCTCTTTGGCACACAATGAGTGCTATTTCACCTTTCCAAAGTGCACTTTACTGTGTTGTATAACCCATAAAGGTTATACAACATCTGGAAAACGGCGGGCAACCGGGTCTGATCAGAGGAAGCTGAAGACAGATTCAGTTCTTTAGAGCAGAACCCTGACTTGCATCAAGGTACATCTCCTGAGTGACGCATTTTCATAGTTAGAGATAGGTAAAAAGACATGTATGCGCTGATCAAAATATTGAGAAAACGTTTGCCACGAATGGT